TCACTTATCTCAATGTTCTCCTATAATAGCTCAACTATCACCAAACTGTCTTAAGGTAGTTTACGGGTTAATTCAATAGAGGGTTATAATTATTTTCCTACTTTATGCTCAAAACCCCAATCACTTACCTAACATGTAAAGCATGAATGGCGTGCATAAAGAATGTCAAGTATTACATCAGCAAGTATTAGTTGGCCTATTTAACATCGACTCCAAAGTTTTGAAATATACCAATCCAATAGTAACATCATAGCCGGCAAGGTGATTAAACTCACACAAGCATACATAAGCATAATCAATATTCACTCACAAGCATGCATCATGCAACAATTAGTCAAATTAAATCTGGATTGTGGAAATGCAATTAATTACATGCCGAATGTCTCTTTTAAATTGTGCCACCATCTCCCAAACTTATACAAGACATTCTCCTCAATGCGAAAATTAAAGTTTAGATGGCAGAATTTAAGGAAAATGAGTACAAATGAGGCAAACGATACGGGGGCTACGATGGGAAGCTAGAACCTGCAGTACGATCATCTGGAGGTAGAGGTAGGGACGCCAAGATCTCTCTCATCAGTACTGACTGCTGTGTCATTTCATCATGGATTCCCTTAACACGTGTTTCCAATCGGCCCAGACGCACCCAAGTTTCATTTACCCTCATCTAGATGCTATCTACCCTGCCCACATACACACTGAGTCGACTGTTCATAGTTTCCATCTCCCTCCTAGCTGCCTGGGTATCCTGGCGAGTAGCACGTGACATATCAATGGAAATGCGGATGTCACAGTGGGTTATATGCATCTCAGTCGTCAAAGTCCCCATAGCCTGCTGGAGACTCTGTACGTCTCGGCTGGTTCCCGTGGTGGTGGTAAAAATCTAGTGCCACAACTGTGCATTTATCTCAACCTATGGTGGTGGAGCTTGAGGCATCTCTTGCTCTGCGTGCTCATGACCTTACTCTTCTTGCTGTCTACACCGTTCAATTTCTTGCTTTTCCCAGTGCTTTATCCTGGCTCTGTCTTGAGCCTCCAAGGTATTGTGCTTTATGATGGGGCTGGGTTTGGCAGCCACTTCCTCGAATGCAATGTTTATACTAGCAGTTATGCATATTCCGGAGATGAGGCTTGGAAAGATCATTGAGTTGTGCCTGTCTCCCAAGGTACCCACATGATGTATTTGATTATAGCAGAGAGTGGCAAGATCAACCTTATTACCTCGCACCAAGTGATAAAGGAATCCAGCTGTGGGATCTGTGAATGTGGTCCTGTGAGAGGTCGGCTCAATGTTGTGGCACATAAACAGCCAAGGATGGCTATAGATGGTGTCTGCTCAATCTGGTGCCACTCGGTGGTGGGGAGTGGGCATGCATTTTATCGCCCCAATAAGATTTCCGCCACTTCATGCCAATTGAAATCACCTGGTATAGGGGTTATGTTGTCCCACGTGAGCTGGTAGTAGTCTTGAATAACCTCGGGTGAGAATGTGATCCATTTTTCCCTGACCCAAGTCTGATGCAGGTGGTCGGACCCTAGTGTGTCAATTTCTGTATTGAAGTTGGCGTAAAATTCCCCTACCAACAATTCATAAATCCGATGTGGCTGCTCCACTACTTTACCCCATCCACAGTTATGCACCAAAGTGGTCAGCTCGAAATCAGGAAAGTCTTCCAATTTAACAGCCCGCTCTGGTGTCACTATCCATCGACTCACTATGTTTTCATATCGAGCTGCTGCCTCGGAAGTCAAAAATCTTTGTATCCCTCCTTCAAGAACTCGAGTACGTGCTGTGCTGGATGATGAGCCAACCTTTTCTTTTCCTTTTGAAGTTCATTTTGGTGGCATCCTGCAAAGTTGGAAAATAGCTAGCATTAAACGTCTTGTTGTACAGCGAGAAATCGCATGAAATGAAAAGCACGTAATTCACAAATCCCCCAAACTTGTTTCAATATGTATGTATACTACCACAGTGTGTAATGAACAATGTATGATGATTAGACTAGTATAAATGTATAGCCCATATGAAAACTAAGAAAATTTGGGTGAATATGCTCATAGTGAAAGGGTTGGAGTCATGATTGAGTGTACACCTTCGGCCCCGGGCACCATCGGGAATTATCAAGATTTTCCTGGGCAACCTCCAGGCATATGAAAGTATGCAATGAGGTCTATCACATACCCAAAATTCAGTTCAATCGGAGTTCATTTGGTATGTCAAATGGTAGTGTAAAATAAGGGACGGAGGGTGCTGTGGGCAGTGTCTTAATCATGTGTGTAGTCATAGGCAATTTTGGTGTTTGAAATGTCCAATTCGTGTGTATGCTAAGCCCAAACTCACTAATATGCGTGGCTCATTTAACCTTGACAATAGATCAAGCAAGTTGTATGTCATTGTATGGAGTCTCTAAAATTTCAACAATTTGAGATTAAGTCATGCCTAAAACGACACACATTCAACCATGTAGCATCTAGGACTATGGGATATGTGCTTTTCAAATTAATGTCTATAGGAATGCAACCAATTATGTAATTTAAGTCCTCCACACATCACAGGCAATGCAAGAAGCATAATTAAACATAGAGTGGTCATTGTGGCATTTTATCAAACACATTGCATGCATAGTGTGAAATTGGTGCCAATTGAAAGAATTTAGTTTTAGAATCATTCCAAATTTTCGCACAACACAAGCACCTCAAATCCAAACGTACAAGAACTAACCCATTGTCCCTCGAATCCTCAAAATTGAAACTTCACTCGTGAATAAACCTAGAACACATACCTTGGAATTGTAGGGGTTGAATGGAGATGGAAAGTTGATTTCCTTTTGATGATAGTGCAAATCCAACCTCGAGATTCTTGTGTAGTGTAGGTGAGTGAAATGCAATTAAGTGTAGAAATCATATCCAAAACAAATTTGGGCGAGAGAGGAGTTGGGAAGAATGATTTGGAAATCAAAATAAAATGATCCCCACGCCTTTTTTATGCTATGCGGCCGCATAGTTAAAATCTATGCGGTCGCATAGTTATAATTTTTTTTAATCTTTTCTTTCGATTGGTGTCTATGCGACCACATAGACACCCTCTTTTTTTTTAGAAGAATTAAAATAAAATGAAACAATGCTACTTTCCACAAAAAGTCCGATTTTTGTCCAAATTTTTTTT